GGACAGGTTGAACAAGTCTCGATGTACTTCTTGTATAAAAAAAGACAAATGCTACATAATACTAAGTCTTCTCTGGTTATTAATATATGCCGGTAATGCCCTACTGATACACACCTAAGCCTATAAGCATATAAGAATATATATACAAAGAGGAAGCACGAACACAACATAGTTACATCTGCTTAATATATGGAAATGGTTAACAAGGAAAGCAAAGAAAAAAAGCTAAAGGCACAGAAATGATTGCGGTGAAACACCAAGAAGCAAATGGTCTGACACCATATAGCCTAGCAACTTCCTTGCTGGCAACTCAGTATGTACTTGTAAAAATAGACTGCGCTGGGACGGAAGGGAAAACAAATGAATAAATGATTGTGTTTGGGGTTGGGTGTACGAGGAAGGAGATAGAAGATGGTGAGTGGAAGATAAATAAAGAGGAGGTTTAGGCGGAGAGGAATAAAGGAGGGAAAGTGGGTGGGACCAGGGGATTGGGGGAGTAAAGTGCAGAGGGAGGTAGAATTGGAGCAAGACAGTGAGGGAGGGGTACGGCTGCAGTGACTGCCTAGATATGATGAATGGCCTTCCGCGGTACAGCTGAATGCAAACATCTCTATTGTGTACACTCTGCCTTTTGTGATTTATCACTTGTTTTGTTGCCCTGGCTATGCTTTTCTTTCGGATCCAGCAAAAGAGATAGGGGAAGCAGCAGGTGCATCTCTAATGATCACAAATGAATCTTGATCATATCTATGACAACGTATAATAGCAGGACATAGAGAATTTATATCATATTGCAGACATTTTCTGTCTTCCTGTCCAACTCTTTCACTCTTGTCTAGCATTATTCATGGTGTGAATAGCAATCTATCTAAATCACGTCACTCTGAAAACTCTTGAAGTCACATTTATATAAAGGATGGCTAGAGTTGTTCTGAATTGTTTTTATTTGCAATAAATCCCCTAAAACACCAAACCAAACAATGCATTATATAGTCTCCTAGTATTTCCTCTATAGCCTCAAGCTTGTATGTTTGTTTTCAAGACATTAGTCTTATAGAGCACATATATAGTTGAATTATTCAAGAGGTTAAACTAATTGCTCAAAACTGCTGAGCATGTTAGTTTTTAAAGCTAACATTATTCACAATGTAGAAAATATCTACTGTTGAAATAAAGTCAGCCACTGAAGATCCATCTCTGTTTCTGTATCGATTCTGCTCTGTTGTGTAATAAAGTAAGTGAACAAAAAAAAAAAAGAAGGTTAGAACCAAATATATTGGAGCAAATACTCAATTGAAACTAATAAAAGAGAGGTTTTTTTCCTCTCCGACCGGACAGTGGGGAAACTAGCAAGTAAAGCTAATGCCGCTTAAAGATGGAGTTTCTTTTTGCATTCATTCACTACATACCAAAACACACTATGTGTATTGCTTGGTCAAACAAACCATGTTAAATGAATAAAACCATCCAAAACAGATGTTCTAAAAAGTTTAAATCCTGCATTGATGTTTACTTGCTAGTAGCAGTTGTCTTCCCTGCAATTTCCTTGGGAATTTCTAGATTTCTTGGCGTATAGTACACTGGAATAGTTAGAAATCATTGACACAAATCAACCCGTCGGCTAATGCATGTGCCCCCTATGGTCATTATTCTTTTGCCACACACATTAAATAGGATAATACTCTGAGCATGCGCAGTGTAGTTTTTACAGTCACCTTTCACTTAGACCAGGGATGGCAAACATACGGCCCGCGGGCCGGATCCGGCCCGGGAAGCATTCCAGCTTGGCCCACGGAGCTGAAGGACTTTGCTAAGTAGGCTATGAGAGGACGAAAAAAAAACTGCTATTTTGAATCCTTCCACTAGTGGGCGCACTACCGCACCGGTACCAGTGAGAGCGCAGCCAGACTGTAAAACAAGTAATGAGTAAGAGTAGTGATTGCAGTCAACAACCTCTGATACCCTCATCCCCAAAAGTCTCTGTCAAAAAAGAGAAAAGTGGACACGGAGTGCCGAGTTTTCCAAGAAAAATTGACTGCATCCTATTTTTTTACAGAGGTGAATGGGAAACCTGTATGCTTGGTGTGTTCGCAGCAAGTTGCTGTGCCCAAAGAATATAATATTCGCCGCCATTATGAGACTCACCATGGAGAGAAATACGACTGCTTGCAAGGAAAATGGAGAAAAGAAAAGATAAATAACCTGCTATCAGGTCTAAAGAAACAACAGGCCGTTTTTACCCAGAGCCGAGATATAAGTGACGCAGCATTGAAAGCCGGCTATCTCATTGTTAACGAAATAGCATCAGCCTCAAAGCCATACTCTGAGGGTGAGTTTGTGAAAACATGCATGCTGAAGGCTGCAGAAATTGTGTGCCCTGAGAAGCGACAAGCTTTCGCCAACATTAGTCTAACGAGGAATACAGTGAAGGATAGCATTACCGATCTTTCAGCAGATTTGGATAGCCAGAAAAAAACAAAAGTCAAGTCATTCGTAGCATTTTCAGTTGCAATCCATTAGAGCACTGACATTACAGATGTTGCTCAACTGGCAATATTCATTCGTGGTGTTGATGAGACTTTGACGGTCACCGAAGAGTTCCTTGAGTTGGTTCCTATGACAGACACCACTAAAGCGGATGACATTTTAAGCGCTCTCGTTGAAGCACTGGACAGGGTCGGAGTGGATTGGACCCGTGCTGTCAGTCTGGCTGCAGACAGCGCACCATCAATGATCGGGAAAAAAGCAGGTGTTCCGACGAAATTCAGGGAGAAAGTACAAGCAGCAAATGGAGGAGATCGTTTTTGGACATTCCACTGTATTTTGCACCAGGAGGCATTGTGTTGCAAGACGTTAAAAATGGATCACGTCATGAAAGTGGTTGTCCAAACGGTTAATTTCATCCGAGCCAGAGGGCTGAATCACCGTCAGTTCGACAGCCTCCTCAGTGANATACAGGAAATGGAAATGAAAGATCGGCACACTAAACATAACTTTAGGTAAGTAGTATGTGGTAGCACTTTTTTAGATCGATTGATGAATTTGTTGATGAAATATTTGAATACAAAAATATTTGAGTTTTTTTTAATCATATTTGACATGTAATGGTGACCGAGTTATTATCCATACGCAGATTATCACTAAAAGAAACAAATGATAGTAGCCATCCCTTTAATGGGAGTTTGAATTATATCTTAACCCCAAAAAACGTTTTGCGTTAATTTAAAAACTCCATGGATGCTCTTTCAATAGCTTCCATGTCATGTGGCAAGGGACTACAAATCAATTGCCAGCATTGGTTGATACAACATGTGAAGGACTTTGGTTCACTTTCTTTTAAATAAATATTGAAATGAAAATCGGCAGCTTTTTCGTTGAAAGAGTCTAATTTCCTTTACAGTAATATGCCTCCATATCAGTTACGCCTCTTCCATATCAGATTGGTCTTAACACCAACAGGCAATTTGGGACACACTCTTAATGAAAAGTATTTCGAGAATCGTTAATTGTAAAAAAAGCCTGACTAATTAAGGCGGCATGGTTAGTTATAAAGCACCCTTTCAACCACAAGGTAATTTCACAAGTGCTTTACAAGCATGAAAGACATTAAGCAACTCCAATTCCAAATAAACAGATAGAAAAAAATGTGAAAAAAACGTAATGTCTCATTGTCACCATGTACGTTAAGTAAATAATGTCTGTCGCAATGAGAGTCGGCTTATGCGTCCACCTTTTGAGTATTGATAATGCAGCCGAGCAGTCTCTTTCTTATTCATTCAAGAGAATGATGCAAATCGCAGTACGGCTTAGAACTAGGAGAAAAGCAATCTCAACAGAAAACAAGATCTTACTTTTTATTGCTCTTGTTATTGTATTTGGTATGTTTTTGGCAAGTGGTTTGCAATTTGACTAAAACACTCTTTAACCTACTGATTTTAAAATATTTTCAAAAGCACATTAACAGTTGTTACATGTAATCCGTTATCGGTTGTTTATGAGCATGTTAGGTTTTCAAGGGGTGGTGACATACTCCCGTTAAATAGTGGTAAGGTCCAAAAATGTTTCACACGGAGCCTAAACACCAAAACACCCTTACAAAATGAAAGCAATGGCCAGGCAATACATTTTCATTTTAGCAATAGTGTACAGATACTTTCATTGAGTTGTATTAAACACAAACTTTATTCCCTGGCTCTTGCGCGGCTTGCGGTTCTACCTGAAGCTGTGAGTTAATTGCGGGGCGCCCTCAAGGAAGGTAGCAGAAGTGTTCGCGTAGTTGAGCTCAGGTTTCTAACAGGCAAGTAGGCATTTTGAAAAAGTAGTAAGGCTGCCACTAACCCACAGTTCGTTGCAGGTTGAAAGAAACATGGAACAAAAGATCGACCTTGTGACTCAAGCCTATGAGATTTGAACAAAAGGTCAACCCAAAAATCACCACAGAAGCACCTTAGGGAGGCGCAAAGGTGAATGTCCAATGCAAGGGTGTACTGATGAAGAGGCTTTGCGCATCGAAGGTAGACAATGAACGTGCATATAAGCAGGCCATTGCAAACCGTTTGAAACCACTGTAGTGAGGGCAAATCCAATCAAGGGGATATTGGAACATGTCAGAAAACGATCTCACAAAGTCATTTTCAGGTTTGCCACATATTCAACAGTGTGATCCCTTCCACCAAAACAACCAGCAACAGAGAGGCCCCTGCACAGCAAAGCAGACAAGCCACAAACAGCCAGATTCAGGCGCCGCCTTAGCATATGGCAGGTGAGAGGCGGCCATCCTTGGGAACTCTTGTCACGTAGAGTATCTGTTCAAAAAGAAGGGTTGGCAGCAATCATTACAATGTGCACTAATTTATTTGTTCTACAGGAAAGTAAATATGTACATCAACACATTATTACCCACCTGTAGTGAGATAAAAGTGATAATGGAAGATGGCCACTGTCTTGAAAAGGGAGGCGAGGCAGCTGAAGACGACACCACCATGTCCCCCCGGCTGCCCCAGGAAAGAGCACCAAGACTGAGGCAGACGTCCCATCAGGCTTATCAGAGCTACAAAACTCAGCTGTTCGCCCCTGAGCAGCTAGCTATAAAGGATCCCCGGTGTTTCAGGAAAATCACGGCCAAACTGACAACTGAACAAATGAGGAGCAGCACCCCAGCCAGCGTCAACTGCATAGCCTCAAGGTGTAGCCCAGGACAAAAATTCAAAACTGGGATCAATGCAGGAAGTGCTCTTGTTTAAAGACCATTGGCGATCAGAGCACTTAGCGCACTGGGTGTCCTCTATAAGTCAGAAAGCACAACAAGAACATTGGTTTGATTAATTAGAATTTCATCGAAAAAAAAACAAAAAACCTTATGGCCTCTGATGTATGTTTAGATTTTGTCATCATTAAAGAAATAACACTAAGCAGCTGACTGGGTAAGCTTAGTGAACAGGGGAGATAGGGGATAACCTTTAACCTGGTGTACCCCAAGGTAATAAAATCTGTATGTGTGAACATGTGTGAAAATGTAAATTAGCTTTCTCAGGCATTTTTTTTACGTTCGCATAAGCCAATCTCTTTTTTCATGTTTGCAGTCATGCTGAGCTAAAATAAAAAGCTCTAACTCTCAGCGAAGCCAATAACGCTAATCCAAATAATTATGTCCTATTCCTTCATACAAGGATCAGGTATTTGACAGAACACATTACCCTCATTTTTCCGGTAAGTGCCTTCCAAGCAGTCAATACAATCAAAACAGCAGGAGTGGAAGCCTTTTACTCTGCGGACCTGGCCTTGCCCACATTCTGCTGAGCAATTGGATTGAGGAACCTGCAAAAGTTGTTGCATTATAGTTACAGAAACCAGAACCAGTTTATTATCATCTTGGATTCAATCACAAATTAAAAGTATGCATCTTTCCGAATTTACATACATTTAAAAAATGTGTTGTATTACCTCAGAGTTTTCAGTGTGCCATTTCAAGAGAGTTTTGTTGATGAACAGTTTTTCTTTACAGGTTCCAACAACTACGAAGTCTGAAGTCGAAGCATTCCAAACCCACTCTATAATATCGTACCCTCGGTTTGGGTTGCCGTTAATGTCAAACTGTAAATGTGTGCCATTTATGTCTATAGATGTATTCCTTAAAACCTCCAACAGCTGCAAAAGAAAGATGTTGTTCCTCAATTAATTTGGATGTTCTCAATATCTTTTTTTTTACTTAAAAATGTGTGTAACCTATTTTACAAACAACTCAAAATAAATCACCTTCCAGGGATAGACTTTGGTTTCCTTCACGCAGCCAGTTGAATTACATCCCAGCAGGTTGTGTAGTGCCTCAGCCACAAAGTAGATGGCAGCATACACACTGAAAGCTGTGCGCTGCACTACAGGTTCTGTCACCAAGCTAATGTTAGCAGGTGACAAATTCCAACATTGTGGGCAGGGATTTTTAGAATTGACTTTAGACTTTGGTGCTGGAGGTGACATATTTGCCCTCTCATCGCTCAGTTTGGTTAAGAGCACCTGTGTGTAGGCAGTGAGCTCATCCAGAGTCTGTGTCTGGTCAATGAATCCAACGATGGTGCCAATTTTTTGGATATTGGGCAAGGAAGTCAGATGATTATTGATGGACCAACTTGTGCTTGCAATCCATACAGCCCGTACATTTCTCCTGATGACCTGGGGTAATGGGATTGCATTATTGGTACTGAAATACATATAAACTATCTACCACTAACATGCAATACTTTTCAAAAGTGATTCACCAACCTCTTTGAAAAAGATAGCAGCTGGCTCTGCGAGAGCAAACACTATGACCACTCCGACCTTAGTTGCATTGATGTTGTTGATGATATTAGTGATTGCTGGTCCAGGGTCAGTGTACACTGGAATCAGCCCCTGATAGGCCACGCAGACCGACATATTCTCTGTTATTTTGGAGAATTCTTGCACACCTTGTTGTCCATACTCCTCGTCGCTGCCCACCACCGCCACCCAGTTCCACTCAAACTCTTTCAGCAGAAGCGCCATGACCTTCACTTGCCATTTGTCACTGGGCACTGTGCGGAAGAATGATGGGTAGAGAAGTTTGTCACTGAATTTGTCACTGGTGGCACCGAAGCTAACCTGGAGGGAGAAAAGTCATATTAAACCACTTATTTGTACCACACTGAAGTTACCCAGCAATGCTCCAATGTTGATGCATAAGGCCTAATGCAAATGTAATGATGTTGCAGGAGAATTTGCACTGCAACTGGAAAGTGATGGAAACTACACTTCCAACAACAATAAAAGGAGAAACAATTGATATTTGCCAATGAACAAATAATCGTTTTTTCTGTGACACTGCTTGTTTGAAGAACAGCAAATATGGCCTGTGGCGTTGATGTCTGTGGACAAATGACAAGACCTATTTGTAACCAAACCTGTGGCATCAGAAAGAATCCCAGGAGCTTTCCTATGACCGACACCATTTCCGAGCTTACTGGACCAATCACAGCTGAGATGCTGGTCTCATAGTCCGTGTAATTACACTCCACAGATAGCGCTTTGTTGGATTTTGCAGTGAGGAATGAGATGGTGGGTTTCACGATGACGGCAGATTCCCTGCACGTATCATAGATTTCATAACCCAACTTCATTCCTGGGAGAAGAATTTGGTTTGCGTTGATTTCGTCCACTGCATATTTCATTACTAGAGCAAGACCCAGGCCAGCCTCATTTAAACTGTGGGACCACAGGTAGAAAAAACAAAAATAAGCCTTATTATTCAAGTTAATGAAACATATTGGTGCAATATCACAAATAACTGGCTTATTAATTTCCTAAAATTGAATTGTCTTACTTTTCACAGCTGATATTGCTGGGCTCCGTCCTCTGGCTGAGGTCGCTTGAGAGCAGGTTAATCTGAAAGAGCCCTCCGAGCATGATGTCCCCTGGCAAGTTGAAGAGACTGGTTGAAATGTTCTGAAACCATTCGGGTGGATCCTCACTGTGGCTCAGTCTGATCGCACAGCACAAAACCAGAAAGGTCCAATGTGCTGTCATTATGCAGTTAAGCCAGAGCCTGAAAAGAGACTGATCATCAGTTGTTGTATGCAAACTCACCTGAAACACCCAAAGCAAAATAGGTACAATTGGCCCCGCCCCACCTTGGCCACCTGGTGTAACACCAAGTAACTGCTATTATTTTAAATGGTCTTTACAATATTGACTTGCATTTCCATCAGTGGACAAGTGGACATAAAGTAAAAATGTAACACACAGTCATTAATTTAAAAAAAAATTAATTTGTAAAGCACGGCATGTGAAAACTCACTTTGCCCCATGTGTTTATGCTTATGCATGTCATGCAAGGTGTTCATCTTTCCGGGGTATTTGACTGATATTTGCATGTGGTTTGCTATTTGACTCTCTTTCCCCTCCTGCTCATCTGGCAGGAGGGGATAACACCAACCACCTTTTACATCCTGAGTTGTCATTACAGCACACCTCACACTTTGCAAATGTTACTTGTTGTGGGTGGCTTATAATGGTATACAACATGATGACAACCTGTCAATGTGCCGTTATGAAAATGACTAATAAGTACCAACCTGCATGATGGGAACACTTTATATACAATAGCAATATATACAATTATATATAAGATTTATTGTATTTCATTATTATTGTTTTAATGGTTTTGAGAGATTATGTTTTTGGGTTGCCCTCTTCATGCTCTTGAAGAAAAAAATCTCCGGAACTCCTTTAAGTCCAGTTATACTCGGTGAACAGATGGCATCAGAGGTCAATGATCAAAGTCACTGTGACTTCACAAAACATGCATTGGGCCATTCCTCAATAATTAATATTACACAATTGAACACAAATGTCTTAAAGGACAAAATGATTAAGTAATAATAGTTTGTATCCAAGTCCAAGGTAAAAATCCAATGTGAAATAAAAGGTTTTGGAACAAAATATGCCCACAACAACGGAAAAAAAGGGAGAGATGGACACCATATCTTACATTTGGCCAGATTCAGTGAGTCTAGGTCTGGTTTTTTTGTATTGATTTGGTAGTTGTATGGGTTGTACGAGTCCACCCTATCTCTTCCTCTCTCGGTTCAAAACTAGGACTACCTGTTTTTCTGGTAGCTCATTTGTTTTGCTAATATTGAGCTGCAGGTGAATATCGCGGCACCTTTTTACAGAGCCCTCTATCAGTCCTCTGTAGTCCTTGTGTAAAAATAATCTCTAAGTGAAGTCAACATAGTCATGACTGAAATTGTTTTTGCAGGAGCCAAACATGTCAATAGGGATAACTCTAATTTCAATTCAACAGCATAATACATTTTGTCAAAGTCCTTCATAATCTTTACTATATATAATCTGAGTCTAGGCAGGCATGGACGTAAACTGCCACTTCACTTGTTGAAGAAGGCCTACAACCACAAGTTGACAATTCATTTGGTTGTTTTCATGTTTTGCATTCACCTCAGTTTTGCTTTTGCATGCATACATTTGCATGCAACACTGGAAGTTGGTCATCCAAATAAGGAGATTGATATAGATCCTTCCAAGATATTTGAATAAACCTACAATATATTCTCTTTTAAAATTGTTTTATTATGTTACATAGAATATGTTATTTTATAACTTTCGTTGTTATCTTATTGTTATATGTCAAGGATGCTTTGAAACCACACTTTATTTAAATGCTTTATTATCCTGCAAAACAACTATTTGTATTTAATAGTGCTGAACATTTAATTGGAACTGGAAAGATGAGTGTGTAAATTGTTTAAAAAAATGTATCTGAATGAACACCGAGTTTAACTAAGTTTTAAGTGTTTTAGTCATTTACAGATCCCCTATTATACAGTTTTCCATCAATATATTATAGGTCTCAGATATATACAAAACATGTCTCTGAAGTGTTTGGCTCAAAATACCAAACAGATCGTGCATCGTGCATCCCATAATCCCCTCTGTTTCAGCCCTGTTTCAAAAGTGCTGATTCTCTGTCTGTTACTTTAGACGAAAATAAGGAGCCCCTCCCCACGCCCCTCTGAGAGATATTTGGTTAAAAAGAACACAATGGTGCTCTAGGAGGAGATTCAGGAGATAAGGTGGGCGGCTGTTACCTTGGTTGGTTATTGGCAAATGGTTTCACAAGCCAAATCATAAAGTGGCCAAATCATTTTCAGACAGGTTTTTATATAAATGGATCAGGACAGAAAGAGAGCGATTTTGCATAATAGGTGATGTCACGATTCTTGTGTTGTGTCACGTTTTTAGTTTTGTGTGTCTGGTAGTGGGTGTTTTGCTGTTCTCTTTGTCATGTTTTCCTCCCTGTGTATTGTCTGATCTTTCTCCCTGTGTTTTCCTCTCTGTCGTTAGTTTCCCTGGTGTGTCTAATTTCCTGATTGTTTTCACCTGTCACCCCTTGTGTGTCTCCTGTGCTCATCAGCATCAGCCCTGATCGTTCCCACCTGTGTCTCATTATCATGTGTTTAAATTCCCCTGTCTCCCAGTGTCAGTTCGTCTTGTCTTTTGGCTTCGTCAGGTCTATGCTCTTTTGTACTCTTTTGTACTCTTTTGTACTCTTTTGTACTCTTTTGTAAATGTTGTTCCTCACCACGTGAGCGATTATCATTTTGTTCTCAATTTTTTGTCATCTCAATCTGAGATTAGTTAGAGACCATTTTTTGTTCATCATGTTTTTTGGAAGAAAAAAAATATATCTTACCAATACTTTACCTCTGTCTCCCGGGTCGTGCAATTGGGTCCTACCTCCTAAGTGTCTGAGTTCTTAACAGAACGAACTGGCCATTATGGACCCAGCCGACCCAAGAACGCTTCACGCCGCCCTGTCAGCACAAGGCGTGAAGGTTGATCACCACGAGGAACAGCTGGGCATAACCACCCAGGGAATAAAAGAGCTGAGAGGACGCCAGGCAGAGATTCAGGAAAACTTTAATACACAGATGCAACAACTGGCTGTACAGATGAATCGTTGGATCTCTCACCTACGGACTGCTCCAGTACCGGCCCCAGCAGCCATGGTTCTCAAGTCTCCTCTCAAGTCTCCTCTCAAGTTCCCTCTCAAGTCTCCTCTCGAGTTCCTTCTCAGGGCCCCTCTCGAGTCTCTTCTCGAGTCCCCTCTCCAGTCCCATCTCGAGTCCCCTCTCCAGTCCCCTCTCGAGTTCCCTCTCCAGTCAGTCAGCTCTCAAGTTCCCTCTCAGGTCTCCTCTCGAGTCTCCTCTCGAGTCCCCTCTCAAGTTCTTTCTCAGGTCCCCTCTCAAGTCACCTCTCAAGCCACCTCTCAGTTTCCCCCTCGAGTCCCCGCTCAAGTTCCCTCTCGAGTCCCCTCTCAAGTCACTTCTCGAGCTCCCTCTTGAGTCCCCTGTCAAGGTCCTTTTTAAGTTCCCTCTCGAGTCCCCTGTCAAGGTCCTTTTCAAGTTCCCTCTCGAGTCCCCTGTCAAGGTCCTTTTCAAGTCCCCTGTCAAGGTCCTTTTCAAGTTCCCTCTCAAGTCTCCTTTCGAGTTCCCCCTCGAGTCCCCGCTCAAGTTCCCTCTCGAGTCTCCTCTCAAGTCACCTCTGGAGTTCCCTTTCAAGTCTCCTCTCGAGTCCCCGCTCAAGTTCCCTCTCGAGTCACCTCTCGAGTTCCCTTTCAAGTCTCCTCTCGAGTCCCTTCTCAAGTTCCTTCTCAGGTCCCCTCTCCAGTCCCCACTCGAGTTCCCTCTCCAGTCAGCTCTCAAGTTCCTTCTCAGGTCCCCTCTCAAGTCACCTATCAAGCCACCTCTCAGTTTCCCCCTCGAGTCCCCTCTCAAGTTCCCTCTCGAGTCCCCTGTCAAGGTCCTTTTTAAGTTCCCTCTTGAGTCCCCTGTCAAGGTCCGTTTCAAGTTCCCTCTCGCGTCCCCTGTCAAGGTCCTTTTCAAGTCTCCTCTCGAGTCCCCGCTCAAGTTCCCTCTCGAGTCCCCTCTCAAGTCTCCTCTCGAGTTCCCTCTGGAGTCCTTTTTCAAGTCACCTCTCAAGTCACTTCTCAAGTCTCCTCTCCAGTTCCCTCTCAAGTCTCCTCTCGAGTTCCCTCTCGAGTTCCCTCTCATGTCCCTACCCAATGTCCTGGTCCGTTGGAGGTTCCGCTGGGGGTCCTGCCAACCCTATGCCCTGTGCCGTTGGAGGCCCCGCCGACTACTCTTCTGCCGGGGTCCTGCCAACCCTATGTCCTGTGCCGTTGGAAGCCCCGCCGACTACCCTTCTGCCGGGGGTCCTGCCAACCCTATGCCCTGTGCCGTTGGAGGCCCCGCCGACTACTCTTCTGCCGGGGGTCCTGCCAACCCTATGTCCTGTGCCGTTGGAGGTCCAGCCGAGACCTGCTCCGCCGAGTTTCCTGCCAGCACAGTGTCCTGTCCTGTTTCGGGTCCCATCGGCACCAGCCCTTGCTCCGTCGTGGGTCCCACTGACACCAGCCCAGGTTCCGTCCAGGGTCTCGTCTACGCCTGACCCGCCAGAGATTCCACCAGCTCCTGCCCGTCCTTATGCCCGGCGTCCTGAGTTCCCAGAAGGTTTCACCCTAGAGCCCGGTCTCCTGAGTTCCCCAGCTGACGACTCCACCATGAACTCTGCCTTGCCCCCGGGCCGTTTTTTTTTTACCTCCTAAGTATCTGAGTTCTTAACAGGTTACATGTTAAATCATAACATGTCTTACCCATAGGGCGGGTACACAACACATCTAAAATGTTTGGTCGAATGCACTTATTGTAAGTCGCTTTGGATAAAAGCGTTACATTTAATGTTGTGTATTTAAACAAATATATATCATAAGGACAAATATGAAATAAGATTATTTCCCTTTTTTAAATCCAAGTCCTCTTCTAAGAATGCTTTAGATCAGCACAATGACAGGCTACATATGAAACTTATCTTGTCTGCTATCAGAATCAGAATACCTTTATTGGTCCCACAGAGGGAAACCGACATTTGTTACAGCAAGTAAAGAGCCAAAGATAGCTTAATATCAATCAAGAAGCATGCGTACAAATATGAAAGATAAAACTAGA